GGTCCGCTAGGAGTAAAGCTAGAGCTGCAGCTCACGCTCGTAAGAGTGTTGGGTGGAAACCATCAGTACAAGGAGAGGCCGTCAGCCGTAGGGATTTGAGTTTAGCCAGGACCCGGCGTGGACTGAACAGTCGTCATGGAAGTTGAGGGTGAGACCGAAGAAGGTACTATCGTTGTACGCATTGATGGAACAGAGGATGTGGTTGCGTACTGCTGGCACAGAAATTCTGCTGCCTCGTTCGCTGAATTGTGAGCCCTGTGGTGGTCGCCAGCATGGTGACACTATGCTTCACTTGTCGAAGACTGTTGACGTGACTATACAAGTCTTTGGGATTTGGTGAAAAGTTGCGCATAAGCTGACACTGATGCTCACTATTGTCTTCGCGTAGAAGGTGAACGCATTGGTTACGGATAAAGCGGTAATATTTGCATTGAATAGGCGTTGGAAAAGAGCGATAGTTTCTCCATGCCGTGTCTCTGGAGGCAATCCACTTCCGTGTACCACTCCGGATGTGTAATGGGTGTCTCTTCCCTAAGCAAAACGTGCTGGCAGGTCGTGCTAATGGAGCTGAGTTCACCTAGATTAAGGCAAATTGTTGATCACACGCTGTTGGCACTCGATTGGCACTCGGGTGACCAGCTCTTAGCCGAAATGACAAACTTCAACATTCTGTTATCAGTCCAGCGTTTGGCATTAGTTGACGTCTCCTTCCTCGAAGGCTTGCAGTATTATGTACTACCGTATTGCGTGCTTGCACTCCTTCCGTTCATTGTGCTTCCATCATGCAGCCTTAGGTACCTCTCTTCTGTCGAGTAAGCATAACTCCTGTGTTCTGTGCAAAGCCTCTCCTAACCTCTCCATCCTAAACGTTCATTTATCCATTACTCGCTCCTTGCTAGATGCTCAGCTGTTACTTACTCGTCTGTGACACCCAAATAACTGTAGTTCAGTTCTCTCACTGGCTTCGCCTGGCTCAGGCTTCCTTAGTTATATTCCATTAGCACCATAGCATGATTTCATTATCTGCGTGTCGCCGCCTCTTGTCCTCTAATGTTCTGAACTATTTAACAAACATATTGTATGCTTGCGTTTCTCCCGTTCGCTGTCCTTTCTACATGAAGCATTCCTTAGCTTTCTTCTGTAGAGCAAACATAACTCATGTGGTCTGCGCACAGCCGCTCCTTAGCCTCTCATTTCTAAACGTTCATTCATTCGTTGCTCGCTGCAACGTTTGTGACACCTGCTCATGTAGGAGTCCAGATCCTGCACTGGCATTTTCCGGCTCAGTCTACCTTAGCACTATTCTCTTAGCACCCTAACAGGACTTCAGTATATGCGCGCCTCTGCTTCACATGCTGCGATCTCCTCAGTAAACTTAATGTATGCATGCATTCTGCCTGTTTGATGTCCTTTCTTCATGTAAACTTTTAGCTTTCCCTTAGCATTCCTTCCTAAACCACCAGGTGAGCGCATAGACGCTCCTTAGCCTCTAGATTCTAGACGTTCTCATATCCCTTACTCGTTGTAAAATCTGCAACTTTTCCACCTGCAAGCGTCTAGTTCTCGGACTAGCTTTCCTTGATCCAATACAAAGTAGTATTATCCCAGCACTCTAGCATGAATTGTGTACCTACGCGTCGTCGCGCTTCTGCCTTATATGATATAACTCCCTCAGGAAGCTTAATGTATGCTTGCATTCTTCCCGTCTGCTGTCCTTGCTTCATTCAAACTTTTTCATCTCTCTTCTGGCGATCTTCCTTGTCACATCAGGTCAGCGCACAGCCGCTCCTTGCTAGATGCTCCGCTGTCACCCAGTCGTTTGCAACACCTAATTAATTGTAGTTCAGCCCTCTCACTGGCTCCTCCCGTTTCAGCCTTCCTTAGTTATATTCCATTAGCACCCCAGCATGATTTCATTATCTGCGCGTTGCTACTTCTTAGCCTCTAATGCTCTGATGGTTTTAACAACCTCATTGTATGCTTGCGCTTCTCCCGTTCGCTGTTCTTCCAGTATGAAACCGCTCTTAGCTTGCTTCTGTCGTTCAAGCATAATCTATGTATTCAGCGCAAACTACTAGTTTGCCTCACATTTCTAGATGTTCAATTATCCCTTACTCGCTGCAATTTCTTAGACTTTTTTTGCCTGCAATCCTCCAGCTCTCGGGCTAGCATTCCCTGGCTCTAACCAGTTTAGTACTATTATCTTATCATCCTAGCATGACTTGATTTGCTTCGCGCTGCTGCGGTTAGGACTCATGCTCTGATATCCTCGGTAACCTTGATTTATGATGCTATTCCGGCCATTCGCTGCCACTTCGTCAATTAAACTTTCTTGGCTTTTTAGTTCATCGATTCGCTCATTTGGTCAGCAGACAGACGCTCGTTAGCTTCTCATTTCTAGATGTTCAATTATCACTTACTCGCTGCCATGTCTGCGACACTTAGTAATGTATGAGTCCAAAATACTCACTGGCTTTTCAGGATCAGCATACCCTAGTACCATTCCCTTAGCAATCTAGAATGACTCGTTTCTTTGCGTGACGCTGCGTATACATTTGTTCCGCACGTTTGCTTTCCTTTAATTGAGCTTTATTACATTACTTTTATCGATCAATCCTTTCTCACCTAGTCAGTACATCAGCTCCTTAACCACTCCTTTGTAGGTGTTCTGTTTCCGTCTCGCAGCAAAGGTTTCGACACTTGCTCATGTAGGAGGTTAGCTCGCTCAGTGACTTTTCCCAGCTCAGTCGGCCGTAGCACTATTCACTTAATACTCTCATATCGTCTTTCTGTCTAGATCCCCCCGGAACATTTTTACTCCGCGCTTGAGTCCTATCTTTCCGCTACTTTACCACCAATTTAGCTTTGAAGCTTTCTCGTCGCAAGCTGTTTATATCTCTACTTAGTTATCCTGTGCTCCCTATCGAAGTACCCTGGCTATCAGCTGTTCATCCAACATTAAATCGCCACCTGTCTTTGAACTGCTTTCCGTCTTCCTACGCAGTAGTTGCATCATAGTAAACCAATACCGCGTGGTTTGCTTAATGGCGCAACGCTCTGTATTCCATGTAGATGGTGGCAATCTAACCATACGTCCATTGCTTTTCGTGGAACGTTCAAAAGACGCTTTCAGCACAATCATTTTTGCCAATTGTACAGCATTTTGTCTCCACTCTAAATGTTACAACATAGGACTTTGACAATGTTTATTGCCAAGCCTGTTCTTTGTGGTCTTGAATGGCCATCACTTTCCCTTTTATCCGAGATCCGGAACTTCTTGGGGATCTGGGATTGGACTGAGCAACAGCGTTTTCGTCCGGGACAGAACAGAATAACCCCCTAGGACCTACAAAGAACATGGTTGTACACCAAATGGATACAACTGCACTCACTACCACCACCGTTGTCCCGTATTGATAGCTGGACACGATGCCTTTACACTCCTGAAAAGTATACATAACCTGAAAAATCCAGACATAAGAAGCTGACGTTTCGCTCAACTGGGCACTCACAAAGAAGGCTCTTCCTGAATCTCCCATCCTCGATTGATGTCAGCGATTATGGCGGCCCTGACCAGAATATCTTGTCAACTAACAGAGGAAATTGGAAGTTATTTGACTGCGGATAACCAAGTGTGAAATCAGTCGACAAGCTGTTCTGCCAGTTGTACATTAGTGTACAAACGGATTTATGACAGTGTTCCAGGAGGTGGTGAGTTTTCGCCTGGCAAGCGTTCTCCCTATAAAAAGCCACAAATGTCCGTTTAACAACATTGAGACGTGGCAAATGTGACTAGCCACTGAATAAACTCACTGCCCAGAACTACATACTGGCAAGTCGACTAGAATCATAGTTGAATATTTTCTTGACAGGTACAAGAATAAGATACGCCCTGTCTACATGTATCGTTTTCACTACACATATAGTGCCCTGCTGTTCGCTCTAGGCACGCTTGAACCCAACGTATCGTCATTCCGTGGGGACTTTATTCCTCATGATCACTTCTACAATTTCCACATACTGTACAACCTCCGGTTTACTGCCAATTACATACATAGCATCGTGTTTGTTGCGAAACATAATTGCATGTAAAGGCTGATCATACGTGATTTGGTGTGCCGCGATAACTTCGAGAACAAACTATTTATTTATTTATGTATTTACTTCACCTCTATCGAGAGACGCGCATACAATCCAACCGTTGCGTTTACGTGAACTGCAAGTTCAAAACCACCCGGCAAACTTATTTGGCTCTGGCTCCTTACCCCAACCCAATCGAAGTTCAAAATCTTACTCTCGTCCTAATGAGTGAGAATCGCTCCTTGGACAGTGGAAAACACGCCCACATAGGGCATCGGCCACTGACACTGTACCAAGTAGGATCAGAAGCGTCCCACTTGCACCCCTATGACTTACGGTGAACACACAGTGCGCCTGAGGCCATATTGGCCGTAGGCGATGGAGTATACAGGCACCCACACAACTACGCAAGTGAAAGTCACACTTAAGGGTCAAAGCAGTTGAGTAAAGACTATCCTTGTTTGACCCTCAGATCAACTCCTACGCCGTTTGGTTTAATTTGCTTGCCCAAGGGGACGACTTGACCGATAATGTTATAGTTCACTATTTTTCGGGATAACGTGTGTGGACGCGGCTGACCGAGCGAACATGACCCAGACCAGGATAGTATTCGAAGCCCCTAACTGATTGCGTTGTACGTATGAAAACGGGATCACTAAGAGCTCCTAAACACCATTCGCATATTGACTCCTTGATACTCCGCTCAATCGCAGTCAAACGGTTTAGCGAAAACAGGCTACGGCATTTTAACTTATGTATACCTTCGTCCAGCTGAAATAGACCCAGTCGTTTCGCGTTAGAGAGCCTCGTTGTATTTCTGTTCACTATGAACGCAAATCATAGCTCAACCCAAGCGTGAGTTCGGATGCTCTTATTCAGCTTTGTTACCGTAGTCTATGGATTACAAAAGTCACACTTTACGGTGAATAACGAATTTACTATAATCGCCGATATCCATCGTTATTTGAAGTGTTACATGCCATGTGTGTCCAGCTGCTCACCGTTATTTCCGACTGAGGTGCCCAACTTGTCTGCAAATCTGCGATAGTATCGTATTCGGCTGGTCACCTGTTTATCCTTCTCTCTTGACCCACCCTCCACCGCTCCACCTTCGAGGTCTCCGTTTATGGCCATGATGGTTCGCCCGAAACCCCAGTTGGAATGCGAACAAGTGCTGCGGTAGATATTGGTGTGCGCACATTTGTTTGAATTGGGCTGTGTCATCCAAAACCATATAGCCGAAGCGAACCCCACCTCACCGTCTTCAGACACTCTGTCTGGATCGTTCAGTAACGTTGATCGGTTGCCGTAGTAATGTTCACTGAATGCCCCGTAATTGAAATCCCAGGTCAGTTGTATGGGTCCCCGACCATAATACCTTCCGTACGGTTGTCCGCTTCGATTGACTTCTGTGATGTGATAGAAATTGCCGGTCTCGTGTGCACAATTGGCAAGGAAAGCGGCCAATTCACGCTTTCGTTCGTTTGTACCCCCCACACGGAGAAATCCACTTTCTCTCTCCCTGGCGGCAGCTCTTCTAAAGTTGTCGTAGGAATAGTAGCTACCATCTCCAACAATATCTTCCCATTGTGATCGACTGAAGTGAAGTGATAATAAGAGCCAAGTGTATACGTGCTCAGTGAATGGCAATGTAAAGTCTGGAAGAAATGCGCTGTAGGCATGTGTCACAAAACTCACTAATGCATGTAATGCCTTAAAGTGCATGGTGGTGCGGACGTTAATGAAGCTCGCAGCGAAACAGTAGTTCACATGAGTATAAACGCTATGGATCAAGCAGTCAAACAGATTGAGAGAAAATTGTTGTCATATGTGCGCCAACCGCGATGATCATATTAACCTGAATGTGAATTTCTCTCCATCGATTTCTTGAGGTGGTGGTGCGCGCCACGTACTCCAAACAAAAATTTATCCGCAACTTTAAGTACGTAACTGCTGCGGTAATCCCAGCCCAATGATTTGAGTGACTTAGTAACCACGGAGTCAGCCGTTTATCGCAATACTCCATGTTCCACTGCCCGACCAGGCTATCTCTACCTGACGAATATTTACGTGGATGAAATCAGTCTGGTGCCGTCACAGCTGAGAGGATCAGCACCAAAACTCCTCCATCACAATCTTTGGTTGCGTCTTTTAGCTATCAAAATACAATGGGCTAGGGCCTTTAGGGCAAATAGCGTAACGCATTGTCTTTTTAACGAGAAATCTGGGTACAGAAATCACCCAAACCGACAAAGCGTTCCATGTCTGATAACTTCTAAGGAGGGGTATTTTCTGCGGCATCAAAGTCCAACAGCAGCGCCGCTAGCTTCAGCGGGTTACCTAACGGATTGCAGCTATAGCTACGTTTCATTAAGTGGCGCTAAAGGTGACTGTAATAATTCAGATTCCGGTGTCACTACGACGTCTCTATGAGAATGGAAACATTCCACCGTACAAAAACTGAAACACCAAAATGCTGCGGACAATAACGTTCGACTTAGGTCTGGATTTCGATAAGAAAATTACGCTAGTCTAACCATGTGCTAGCATGCAAGTTAAGGAAATTAAATCAGCTACACTGTTCCTATAGTTTACGTACAATCGTTTGGATTTCTGGAGGATTAGGAAGAATAGATTATGTGTCTCTTTAGTAAAACGGAACCTAAACGCTGAAGTGAAATAATCGTTTGTAAATGAGCTGGCGCACTAACCCAGCAGCATAACGGTTCGCTTGGAAAACGATCTGCTTGTTTTGAAGAGAGCAGAGTCCAAACTATCGACGAATTTACAACAACTAAACCTGTTCAGCGTTGTCGTTCATAATTATAAAATATGGTTTTCCATATATTATTATAAGCTGGTAACTATGTTCAGTTTCATGTCCCCTACGAGAGCGTCAAATGAACCCGTCACAGCGTACCCAAACGCGACAATACAAACGATTCATGTATTAGCGTTGTCAACATAATGTCCGACTGAGTAGTTTGGGCAGAGTGTATCTTAAATTATCCCTTTGCTGTTTTCATGCAACCAGTATCTCAATTAGAACCATAAAATAATTGCAGAAAGCCAGTAATTTGGCGTAAAAATTATCAGTGAGAGAGGCAAAATAACGGAGAGAGTAATTGAGCATGTGGGGATAGGATAATACCAGAAGTGTTAAAAGCCCTCTATTGGTTGAACTCAGTGGCAAATACTCACAAGCAGTGCTTTCAACAGTAATCCCTACATAATTGTGGCCCAGTCTTCGCGATTAAAAAAAAGCCCTACTACACATCTTTCTTGTCTTTATAAACATTCGCATCACTGTCGCATAAAACTATCGAAAACCATTGCTATATATCATGAAAGCAACACGATCAATATTCTCTGCTTTAAACGGTCGCAATTGCTGGATTCCAACACAAGGGATAAATTGTCCACATGCGTTCGCAGCACACACCGCGAGTGCACAACAAAAGGCGACTACAAAAATATTCCATGCTTAACAGCATGGAGCCAGTAAGGATAGATGGCATGAATCAGTCTAAAAAGTACTATCAATAAATCTTGACAGTAAGACCATAACTTAACAATGCACAGGATGCCTCACCTGATGTATTGATCAACCATGATATAAGCTGCTACGCATACTGCGCCAACCGCTTTATATGCATGCGTCGTACGAAGTAAGCGTGTGGGCTGGTTGTGGTGCGTTCAGAATATCCACCGTTTTGTTGTCATATGTTTGTTTTAACGAGTCGCGACCAGACTGACCTCAGTTCAGTCAGACAGTGGTAAACTTGAAGTGAAGTATGCCGAGTTGCGAGGTCAACTGCCAACAATACATTCCTAACATGCGCTGCTTTTTCGATGGCAAATGAAAATAATATTGAAGCTAGTATTAGCAAAACTATTAGTTGACTGTCTTATTGTAGCTGACGGAGCAGTGGGCCGAAGAGGTCTGTGATGAAATGTGGACCAAAAATGCTTTTCCTTCACTGATCGTTGTAAACAAACGATACTTGTTTAGTTATGATAAATGCTGGTACATAAACGTAAATATAGCGACCAGGAAAGCGTCGGCATCTTCGGATGCCTGTCTAAACCAGGAGAGCAAAATATAGTGGCAGTTTGAAATCAAAGGATGTTGTTAGGAGGCTTGCGTGACCAATGGAATAGGGTGGGTTTTGCTACATTTTCTGGAACTGACGGTCTTCAATTCAAGTTCATTCCAGTATGGCTTCATGCACCCACGAAGGGTGAATATTCAGCTCAGACACACACGTCAAGGACAGAGAGAAATAAGTTAAACGAATAGTTTATGAGGATATATATATATATATATATATATATATATATATATAATGTATCAGCTGTGCGCCGTAACGGCACTTCGCTGCCGCGTGGTTGCCACCAGTCGCGCGCGGGCAGTATACCGCGAGAACGCCAACCCATACGCGGATTCGAACCGGTGAGATTATGCTTACAAACCGGGCGTGAGTACCGTTTGGCCACTGCCCGAGCAGGACAGATATAACAGCACGATCGTTAAAAAATTGCATAGACAATATCACGGGAGTGATTTACCAAACAGTTTTGCATGACTGGATTGCCTTCGTTTAGAAAACGTGACTTTCAAGGAACTGCTTGTGTTCCATAGAACCTTGTAGCTCTGTCTGATCGAGGAAGTTGATATCCATTCGGAAAAACGTCATGTGCAGGTAGTGGCTAACATCTGTGAGTGTATTAGATGCAAGCTTGTTACATGGCTGGCTACAATGATGTGGGCAAATTCCAGTCTTGAAGTGCCTCTATCCCGGGATAGATGCATCACTGCTCTGACCATTACTGAGGACAAGAGACCGGGTAAGATCACGGGATAACAATGGGTCCAGTGTAGTAACCCACATACGGATTTAGTGGATAACCAAGTTGCTTAGTTTATTACTACACGTGCTAGGTACTTATACATGGGCCACAAATGAACTTGAGGAGAATATAAACCTCGTTACATCGCTTTCGTAAGAAGGCAGTGAGCAGACTCGTTGTTTGCGTCTCCTCTTTATCCAATGAATACAGCTCATGGCACGTAGTGAAATGGGCGCGATGCATTGTTGAATCGTATTTTAGTGCATGAAGTGTGCATGGGAATGACCTACGTTGACAGTATTTCCCAAGACAACCTAGCTCGGCATATGGCGTGGCCAGCTTCAGCTGATGGACCATAAGATATCTGCCATAGCTGAGTTTCAGTAAATGTGTGGAGGACACCTTTTTCCAACATTCTACCTAACAACGCTTGTATTTCTTGCGGTATCTAATTAGTAATGAAAGAAGGACTCCAAGGCTTAATTAGAATAACCATTTGAAGCTGTGCCTGCGCATGTACCCAGCAGTGTTACATATCGCTGGAAATCGATCTGTTGGTTGTGAAGGCAGCAGATCCCCAACTACCGATATTTTAACAGAACTACAAACCAGTGACCTTGAACGAGCGAGCGTGCTAACTGTGCACTTGCGTACACCAGGATTTTTCGCTATTTATCAGCCGCATTCTGTCGCACACCACTAGATGCATACATTTTCGTTTTGAATTGAGAAGCCCCACCTCGTGATACTATTTTCTCGTGGGCACTACCAGTACATCAAACATTTACACAGAACACGTCAATTTTAGTTTCACTTGATAGAGCACTCCAGAGGCGTTCGAACGAGCTCTCACCCATTCCAGTTTATCACTGTGGGAGCATCTACGGAATAATCTACGTATTCCTGTAACGAATGCCTATCAACCCTCCGGCAAGTCTGCTTTGCCTACTAGTTTCTTGACCGTCAGCGATCAATAGATCAAGTCAACACGTCGTTGCAGCACGAACATACAGCCGCACACTGCCAACAAGCATCACGGTCACAGCAGAGACGGGAACTGTGTAAATTGTTTCAACGTGACTGCTGATCACTGACCTTACAACCAAGCCTTACAGTTATCGGATAATAAGACGTGGTCACCCAAATGTCCAGTGGACCAGAAAGACCAATCAGCACACAGAACGGTCAGTTTCTATCGCACTTCTACCAAGTTGATAAATTTCGGCCACTTTCTTAGTGTTCAGTTCCATACTGCATACAATTGTCGACAATATAACTCGATTTTCAACCACTTCTAACGGTCAGAAATAGCACTGAAATGCCTGCTAGCTCTATTAAAGTGTGAAATGTCATAGTTAGGAAGGAGAACAAACAGGAATCACTGACAGTCTGCAACGACAATGCTACTAAAACGAGAAGTGCCTCAGCTAAATTGACGCAAAGCAAGAAGCATTAGCTGCCTGCTCTGACGATAAAGTTGTTTTATTATCTGAAATGCAAAACCGCATGATTACACTTGAGGAATAACGTATATCAGGAAAAACCGAACTGCTGCGCTTTGGCGCGCAATACGGTCAAGTCTTGACTTTCTGCGAATTACCTACATGTTCGAAGTATGTGAGCTTAGATACACTACACAAGGTTGGCTCTATTCTATCCTTAATCACAACTGAGACCCAGGAATATTTACGCAGACCAAAGGACGTTATTAACACACCTGACCGAATGAGCATAGAAAGTCAGAAA